CGGGCAGCCCGGCTCTTAAACAGAGCCGAAGAGTCGGGGAGGAGCAGGGTGAGGGTCAAAGCAGGCTCTTTAACAGAGCGAGATTCAGCTGCAAACTGCACATTCCTGAGATAGCAAACCTCTGAGAGGCTACTCAAGAAAATAGTTCTATTATGGCCTTCCCAGTTAGTAACTAATGCCAGCTTTGCTCTGGTGCAAGCTTTTTGTTGTAAGTGATCAGTGAGCAAGCTGCAGTATTAACAACCCCAAGAATTCAACACCGATAAATCACCCCCACTCCTTCCTCAAATGTGATTTTTTTAAAATGATTTTAAAGTTATTTACATTTGCCTTTTGGTCTCACTTGGGTCATGTTTTCAAGCTGTTCTCATGTAATCACTTGTCTCCAGCAGCTGGAGGGTTAGCAGAGATATCATGTAGAGAGAGTGTCAGATTTCAAGGCCAGAAGGAACCACTGTTATCTAGTACAGCAGTTCTCAAACTGTGGGTCATGACCCCATTTTAATAGGGCCGCCAGGGCTGGCTTAGACTTACTGGGGCAGAAGCCCAAGCCCCACTGCCTGTGGCCAAAGCCAAAGCGCTCAGGTTACAGGCCTCCTGCCTGGGGCTGAAGCCCTTGCGCTTTGGTTTCTCCCTACTACCCCGACTTAGAGCGTGGGCTTTGGCCTCCCCACCTTGGCAGTGGGTCTCAGGTGGGCTTGGGTTTCAGTCCCCCCCCCGCCCCAGCTCCTGGGGTCGTGTAGTAATTTTTGTTGTCAGAAGGGTGTCATGGTGCAATGAAGTTTGAGAACCCCTAATCTAGCACAAGCCTGAAAACTTCCAACACTAATTCCTAGAGCAGATCTTTTCAAAAGATCTAATCTTGATTTTAAGATTGCCAGGGATGGAGAATTCACCACAATTCTTCGTAAATTGTTCCAATGGTTAATCACTCTCACACTGTTAAAAGTTTACACCTTATTTCCAGTCTGAATTGTCTAGCTTCAACTTCCAGCCAGTCAATGAAAATGCATCTTCCAATAAAATTGAGCGAGTTGGCAACACTGTATTTCTCCCTGACCCCCACTACTACTAACCAGGAGCAGTAATGGATCGGTCACTTCACTGATGGCATCATTACCTGTTACTATGCATGTGAATTTGGCATCAGAGTCCTCAGATACAGCACGAGATTTGAGGGTAGTTTCAAACTGCGGCTGGGTCTCCTCAGTCAGCTGAGCAATGATTGTGCAGAAGGTGCTCCTAAAAGAATTAAGAAGCAATTCTTAAGAGCTCAGATTAGGTTACTAGAAACCAAGTAAAGGGTTCTCCACCCCAAGGTCAAATAATGTGCTTGGCTGGCTGGTTCTTCCTTATATGCTGGGGTCTAACAGATCGTCATGTGAGAGGTTGGGAACAAATTTTCCCCTCAGATCAGATTGGAAGTAATCGGGGGGGGGAACTCCACCTTTTTCTGCAGCACGTGGGTGTTGGTCACTTGCCAGGATTATCTGGATATACCTCACTTAATTCCCTGTCATTGCAGGGCCTCAGGCATTGGTGCACCTTGGTCCCTTCTAGGCTTTGTCTACACTGGCACTTCGTTGGCAAAACTTTTGTCATTCAGGGGAGTTAAAAAAAACAACTCCCTGAATGACAAAAGTTGTACCGATGAAAAGCGCCCGGTGTGAACAATGCTTTGTTGGCAGGAGTGTTCTCCTGCCGACAAAGCCGCTGCCACTCATGGGGGGTGGAAGTGCAGCCATACCCCTAGTCTCTGGCTGGGGCACAGAACAGTTTAGTTGCCTCTGGGCTGTAATGCTTTCTTCTAATTTTGGTTGCTGGGTTTAGTCTGCAGGTGCTGGCAGCTTGTGATTTACAGGAGATTGGATCAGATGATCTGGTGTTCCCTTCTGGCTTTAAACTCTATGACAACCCAACACCTGCCTTCAGATGTCCCTCCTTGCCTCTCACTGGATTCGAATGGTCTCATTTTAAATTCTCTCCCGGACACTCTTACCCTGGTTGGTACTTTGCTCAGTCATTGCTGCGCTGCTAGAGCTATGAGCACTAACAGAGAAACAATTCTGAAAAGCCTCTTCACGTCTCACTATTTATGCCTTATGTTTACTAGTTGTGTTTCTTATTAAGACAATGAAATAAGAGAAACCAGTGAAAGCAGCTGCACTTTTAGATTGCCGGTGCTGCACTGAGTGGGTGTCTCGCATTGCGGGGGGAGGAAGGGAGGCACCTCTTTATTAGACTTCTATTTTAACTGTGCAAGTTTTTTCATTGGTTTAGGATTTACAGAATAGGCATTTTGGGATCAAGTTTTAATTGACATGGTCCCTTTGACAAGTACATGCCACTATTTCAAAGGCTTGAGTTAATAGTAAAAAGGCCTCTAAGGGCCTTATACATACCCACCCTCCTACAGGAGGTTCTGAGCCTGGCTTACACCTCTCAGAGCTAGGGAACTGTCCGTGAAGCTGGCACAACTTCTTTACTTTAGCTCCTGCTACAGCATCTAGGCATTAGGGACCATATAAGCTCATGCACTGTAATGTGTGGGCATAGCAAGTTCAGACTGAAGCACTAGCCTGAACTGTCCAAGGAGCTACTAGACTCTATGAAGTTCATAAGATGCATCTTAGAGCTGTTTCAGTGCTAGTCACGTATGGCACTGAATGGATACAGTGTATCGATCCAGTATTGCTAATCTCACAGGGTCAAAAAAGTTTAGTTCAGCCCCCCCAAAAATCCATGAGATTTGCTTCAGCACTTTTAAAAATTTCCTGGCATTTTTAAAATTTGGGTCTTTGCCTTCTGCTTTGGGGGGCCTTTAGGGATCATATTTTCAGGTTTTCCCCCTGCAACCAGAAAGGATAGAAAGTTACTCTTTTTTTAAAATGTGACATTCTCATATCATCACAGGTCTCCAGGAGCTGGGGCTCTAGGAGAAACACCATGTACTACCATACAGTTGGCAACACTGTTCATGCAGCACCACCTGCAATAAGGAAAGGCTTAAGACAAAACAAAGTGTTCAGCTTCCATAAACATGCAGGAGAAGTGTGTGGGGGGTGGGGGGGGAAGGCAGGAGGTGGAGATTCATAGAAACAGTTACTGACAGCTCCACGACTGGTGCTCGCTGGCCTCAGTATGGGCAGTATCAGCAGAAGGAGCAAATGGAAGGTCCCAGGAGCCTGTACTCCTCTGACTCTTAGAGGGGTTCCCCTAGATCATAGGTAGGCACTGCTGCTGACCTGTTCAGTGAGCCAACTTCAGCCCTGAGGGCTGGAAATTCAGTTCCTTTCATCAGCTACCCTCACGTCATTACATTTTTAAAGAGTAAATGGATACACAGAGCTTGGACTCAGAGCTGAGCCCTCTGTCAGGACTCTGAGCTGTGACAGCTGCCTACGCAGCTCCAACGGCAGCAAGGACCTACATCATCTACAGATTTAGCAGGAGATTCATAGATTCCAAGAGTAGACGGGACCAACTATACAGCATCCTCCACAAACCAGTGATGCATACACTGAAATATACAGCCAAGTTCAACCCTTGTGTAACACCACTGATGTCAGTGGGTGGCACCAGGGATAAACTTGGCCCATATTGTGCAAACTCCAGAGCCAGAGGTAAAACTCCAAAGACTGCTGACTAAGAGGCAGAGCACTGGAGACTGGGCCTCAGACAAGCTGTGCTGCTAGCAGCATGGCCTTGGTGACCCATTTGATCTTCTGCAGAGGAGCAAGAACCACAGTAGCCACTGGGTAAATGTTGGAGACTTTTTGTTAGAGGCTTCCAGTTTTAGGTCATTTCCCCAGCAACTCCTTAAATCTCTGAAATTGCTGCACTATCCCTTATCATTTGGCCACAGCAAAACTTGCCGGATTCAAGCTGCTTCATATATTGATGTACTCATTTTCTGGGTGCGCCTGAAATTTTGCAGAGTGTAAGTGGGAGCTGTTTGCTTTTCGACCTTCCCACATCTGCATGTTGTTTGCAGCAACAGATCAGAAGCACATAAATTGAGCAGGTTCTAAAAGGAAGTACAAAAGGATGGCAATTCAATAGCCTTTTTACATTAAAGAGGGACTTCTGTACTAGGGAAACCTCTGGACAAAGCAGACTTGAAAAAAATCTCTTCGCCTTTCCTGTGGCTCTTGGAGTGGATTCTCTTTCCTCGCCCCTTTTGGCAGCAATCCTGGAGGCTAGCAATCACTCTGGAAGGACCTCCCCCCCCCACCAGCTCATCCTCGCCTACTCGCTTCTGCAGGGAAGCAATAGTGCCAGCTTTGACTTTACAACAGTCTACATTTACAATAGATCTATGGCACAAATATGGCTTCACTGCAGTCTGGCTAAGGAGAATCTAGGTTGCAAGGGCAGCTTGTGGGGAAAGAGCTCTTATTTGAACAAGGTGACATGTCTATTTTTTAAAGCATATCCCTGTGTGAAAGTCTCTCTTTAATAGTAAGAAATAGCTGAACAGCCCTTTCCCCACCCCCACCCTTTCAGTGGTGAAGATGGATAGTCCTTGCATCTCCCAGAATTGTGTGTGATAAACACCAGCCTGTTTGCACTTCAAGCAAGTAGTAGAGACTCAAGCATGCAGAATCTCACGCGTGCACATTATACAAGTGCCATGCTCTCTTCAGCTAGTACCAAAGCACTAAAGATTAGTCTTGCCAAGTCACAGGTCCAGGAAAGGATTTGGTCAGAGAAGTTTAATAGAATATAGGTTTACCTTCTAAAGCTGGAGGGAGATAATCGGTTGCCTGATAAGCTAAGCAGAAACAGCAAACAAAACCATTAGACCAAAAAGCACAGAAAGAAGCAGAAATTAAACCATTATGTTGACAGATTAATAAGTCATCTTGCACAGGTCAGAGTCTCTATTAAAAGGCCACAGCTGCCTGCCAGGATAAGCAAGCTACATTGTAAATGGTAACCAAGCCTGTGAAATGAAATGGTCATTAACAGCAGAAATGTAAGAACATTTTATGTGAGTCTGAAAGGCTAGATTAAATAAAAAAAAAAACCCAAACAACACACACACAGCACCTGAGTGGCCCACGCACTCTCTCTACAGCTGTGTGCGCAAAGCAGGAAACTGCACTCTAGAGGGTATTCTGATTAGATGGCACTTGAGACCATGGACCCTACTGCTTGCCCCGAGGAGCAGGCCTGGGGCCTGACCACCTACTGATGGGCAACAAGTGAGTTTGCAGCAGAGTTTGACACAAAGTGCACTTCCAAGCTCAGAGGCGGGATTTGCACGTTGAAGAAATTCCAGGAGGAAGAAAAGCTCCCTGCTCGTAATGCTCTGAACCAAGTCACTGTGAGAGCGGACGGTAAGCACATTTCACAAAAACTTCCATGGTCTCCATTCCCTTTGTGGTAACATTTCATAAAACGCACTCCAATGCTAACACCTGATGGGCGCAAGTGAGTTACTTACCAAGAACAGAACCTGTTCTCTAAACACTTTGCCTCCAGGGAGTCATGCACCTGCCCACAGAACCATTTTGGAGCAGTATTTGGCAGCTATGGGGCATGTGCCATTCCCTGGAGCCTAACACATCACACAGACTAACGGCATGAATGCTTCACCTGCAGGGCCAGCTCCAGGCACCAGCCAGGCAAGCAGGTGCTTGGGGCAGCCACTCCGGAGAGGGGCGGCAGGTCAGCTATTCGGCGGCAATTCGGCAGACGGACCCTCACTCCCGCTCAGAGCGAAGGACCTCCCGCCGAATTGCCGCCGCAGATCATGATCGCGGCTTTTTTTTTTGGCTGCTTGGGGCGGCCAAAACCCTGGAGCTGGCCCTGTTCACCTGTCCAACCTTCCCTGAGCTCCATATTTGACAGATGCCTGGGGGGGGGGGGCAGTGCAGCTCTGAGGCCACACCACACTTGGAGAGCAAGAGCTACTGTTGGTAAGTGAGCCTTTCTTCCCCTCCCCTCCATTGCTTCCACAGAGCTTCGCCATAGGTGCCTGGCCACTGGGACTTCCCTTAGCAGGCAAGCAGAAGAAACCTATGAGCTGAACAGCAATTGAAACCCCGCCTCCTCAAAACCAGCATCTGCTCTTGCTAAAATATCCAGAGAACAGTGATTTGCGAAGGTGTGAACGGAACTCCAGGTAGCAGTCCTATGGACTGCAGATTGGGGAATGCTGCAAAAAAACACACACCACCACTTTAGCCAAGTGATCCTGGAGACATTCAGATACAGGACGCCTGCTAGCTCATAGCGTAACTAAACACAGTCTCTTATCCACAGAAATAGATTTTAAACTGAAATGGCGTGACGTTCAGAGTTTTCTTTAAAGACCACATGCAGTCAGTTCCACCACTACCATCCAGAGCATGTAGCCTCCCTTCCCCTGTGTGGCTTTAGAGAAGAGACAGTCTCCATCACAGCTTGGTCAACAAAAATCGGATGCAGTTTTGTCATAAGTCAACGGTGAAGCATGGCCAACCTGCTGTGTGGGGAACACAGCATAAATTGGTTGGCTCTAAGTGCATGCAACTCAGACCCTCCTGGCCAAGTAATGGCTCTAAAAATGAGACCTTCAGTGAGAAATGGCAGAGATTGCAAGATCCCGGGGTCTCAAGAGGGCTGCCTTGGGTTTGTTCAATGACAGGTTACAGTCCCAGAAGGGCAGTTTGAGACACTCTTTAAAAATGGTTTTACTAAGGGATGAACACTGTGGACCCTTTTGCAGGTACATGGTAGATAGAACAATTGCCAGGTACATCTTAGGCATATTTGGGAACACAAGCATTCAAGTCAAGGTCCCTAGCTTGAGCAAACCCATTTTCCAAACTCTTTTGGGCAAAGCATGAGGCAATACAAAAAAGAAATATAATCCAATGCAGCAGCCTAAG